TTACCTAATCTAACCTTAACTAACCTGTAGAGTTTCCTATTTTTACATTTTAGTTATTTTTATAATAAAAAATAAAGAATACACATGAAAAACAAGAAATAAAGTACACTCCTGGGCCTTCCTTTTTTTGCTGTCGACTGTTGATGACACTTAAAACCACGTTTTTTTATACTTATGGTATTAGTGCACAAAATAATTTTTATTTAATTAAATAAAGCACCATAGAACAGAAAATAATAACATACAAAAAGCAGACAGTGTCTCATAACTATCACAATTTTTCTGGCTTTCTAACTATGCGACAAGAGCCATTACAAATTCATTCGAGCAAGTCAATATGTTTCCCATGGGAAAGAAGCTTAAAGTGAAATTGACAATTTTCTGTACAGAAAACAACGTAATATAACACACCATTTGATAGATGAAAACCTTGGCTTGCTATTGGTTATAAATAATATAGTATTAAAAGTAAGAGAGAACTATTAACAAATCCCGAAAGAGTGGATGTGACAGGTGGGTCTAGAAAGAGGGGTCTGATTTTCTATTTGATGGGACTGTAACCAAACACGATTGAAGACTCTCAAAATTATGCTTTGTTTGAGTGATGATGATATTATAGTGAGTAATTTATATTTTGTACTTATTGGAGGGGTGGTGAATAAATTAGAGAAGAGGGGATGCCTAGAGAAAAAATGTCACATTTCTCATACTAGAGGAAATTCAGGATTTTCTTTTATATTGTCTTATAAAATTAAAAACTTAAATTTATATACAATTAAAATATGAATTCTTAGATATGATTTTATGCTATACTAATTGGTATAACATAAACAAAAAGTAGTTTAATTAAATTCTTAATGTAACTCACTAAAAGCTTGTGACATGGGCAGTAAAGGATGCCTGTGGTGAGAAGGTTAAATAACTAACAGCTCCAGTTATGTCTGTTCCCATGGTAACAACCCTATACTCTTTACACCCTAACCTATAAGAATGTTCATATACATGTACCCTTTCAATTGCAACACTATATTTAAAAATACATGCTAAGAATATCTGTGGTGCCTCATCTTAAATTCCCTTATCATCATTAGTAGCTTGAACCATCTAAGTACTTGAATTGTTTCTAAATGGGTACCAAGGTTTACTAAATTTTAGGTTGACTGAGTGTGTTATCAGTTAGTTATATGTAGAAGACTGCTTTTAATTTTCTGTCTTCTCATGTGTGGTTCATATCCCATTGTTCAGCATTATTCAATTTTATTATATGATCATCTTCACTGATATAAGGGTTGTAGCAAACAGTTCACTATTATAGACTTATTTATCTATAGAACTCCTCAATTTTGATTTTTGGTCTTTTTGTTTCATCAATGTATTTGAGTCCACATTCACAAGGGATGTAAATGGTATTTTTACTCTCAATTGGCTTTTTTATATGGTTTAATATACAGTAACTGTGATTATATGGTATTATTGCTTCTGTATACTTTCCTGACATTATTTGAATCTTTTATGTTTTCATGAAGACTGGAGTGGGAGAAATAGAAGCAAGCTCTCAACTTGCTAGAGCAGTCACAAACTTCTCTATGGTATACATTTTGATTAATGTACAATATAGAAAGAAGTTGATTAAAAGAGGAATATGATTGTATGTCTGAAATTTTCTTCCTGCTTATTCTTGATACTTGTCTCTATTTTCTTTATTTAGTGTTCATTGCATCTGTTGTCATTCAGATTTGTAGTAATGATGTGTTTTTCTTTATTCTTCATATCATTCTTTGTCTATACTGCTGTCTTTACATTGTTGATCTGTAATAAAGATATTTATAGATTTCTTATAAGCTCCTCAGGTATACAAGTTGTCTCTTGGTGATCTTCACATCCAGTAATTATAACTTTTCTTCTATTTCTGTTATGAATTGTTTTGATGCATATTGTATGTTTTTAGGTAGTTTGTGAATTCTTGATTTGTGTCTTTAACCATCTCTCCACGGACAAATATTTCTGTGCGTGTCACAAAGTTTTAGTGAGTTACATTCAAAATTTACTTAAACTACTTTTTTTTCATAGTATACCAATAAATATAACATAAAAAGTAGCTAATAATCCATATTTTAATGGTACATAAGTTAGAAGCTTGTACTTTTATAAGGCAATATAAAAAAAAAACTAGAATTTCCCCTAGTGTGAGAATTGTGACATTTGCTCTTTAGGCATCCTGTCTTTTCTAATTTATTCACCACCCCTCCAAGAAGTACGAAATGTAATATAAATTACTCATCATAATATTGTTATCGCTCAGGCAAAGCATAACTTTCATAGCCTTCAATCTTATTTGATTACGAAAAATCAAATAGACAATCAGACCCTTCTTGCCAGACCCACCTGTCACATCCTATCTTTCAGAAATTGCCAATAGTTCTCTCTCTGACATTCAATACTATATTATTTATAATTAATAGAAAGCCAAGGTTTTCATCTATCAAATAACGTATTATATTATGTTGTTTCTGTAGAGATTGTCAATTTCACTTTCAGTTCAAGCTTGATTCACATCGATGAGCATAAATGAAGTTTTAACGGCTCTTGTCGCATAGTTAGAAAGCCAGAAAAATTGTGATAATTATCTGCCATTGTTTGCTTTTTTTCAACATTATTATTGTATGTTCTTTGATGCATTATTTAATTAAATAAAAAATGTATATTCACAGACAAATCTTTAGTAAAAGTACTGCATTAAAAAATCTTATTTTTTATGTACAAAATAATTGTAATGTTTACTAAAAGTCTACCTAATTCTGTGAAGATACATAAAGTTTATTAAAGGTTATAGTATGGAAACTATAATGAGTAAAAATTGTTATGAGGTTGGTCAATTCGACTGACCTCATAGTGAGATAGAGTTAATGTGTGTGTGTGGTCCTATTATGAATATATTGTTAATATCTCTTGCAAAATCCTGGGTCTTAGAATGGCTGTTTTGAGAGTGTTATCTTTGAAACTAGCCATGACCTACAAAATGTATGCAGTAGTTTTCATGCCCTTCGCTTGTATTTTCCTTATTCTACCATTTTCATGCACACCATTTAAGCTACGCTTTCTTGCAGGCATTATGTGTCACGTTGATAAATCCTGATCTATTTGAAAACATTTTTTGAGGTCAGACAAACAAACTCATGTAAATGTTACTGTTTAATAAAGCTACGCATAAAGTAAACAATAAAGTAAAGTAATGGTATTTATAATAGTGTACAGAGTATGAAAGTAAACAATAAAGTAAAGTAATGGTATTTATAATAGTGTACAGAGTATGAAAGTAAACAATAAAGTAAAGTAATGGTATTTATAATAGTGTACAGAGTATGAAAGTAAACAATAAAGTAAAGTAATAATATTTATAAGAGCATACAGAGTATGAAAGTAAACAATAAAGTAAAGTAATAATATTTATAAGAGCATACAGAGTATGAAACAATTTAGAGCAATTAGTATATGACACAGTTTTACGAGTTGAGAAAAAGAAACTCACAAAAACAAAGAATAAAACCATAGTGAAAAAAAAAGTAGCGAAAAGGTGTTTATAGCAGTCTACGAAACAAACCAAAGCTAAATTATTGCAAAGTAAAGTAAATGTAAAATTGTAATGAAGGCAAATTTAGATAAATATGCAGAAATGTCTGAATGTATGTTCATAAAGTGATAAGTATATGGTTTTGAATGAACTGTGCATACGTATTTTAGTCCTAAATACGTCGAGAAAGCCCATAGAAAATGTATTTAGTGTAATATTAATTTTTTTTAGGAAATTAGGCATGAGTTAAGTGTTGTTTGGATGAAATAATTTGTAGATAAAACTAAAGTTGAAATGTAAGCCAGTTGTCATGTAATAACAACGTCATTGTGCCATCATGTACCATACTTGTTGTATTAAAAAGTTTGACTAAGCAAAAAATAGTTAAGGTGATTCTGAATGGAAAAGTCAATATGCAATCCGGACTCCTTGGACAAAAGCTTTTCTAATGAGATGAGATTTGTGGTGTTTGATCGAGAAATTTGTGAGAAAAGTTTCAGAGGGACAAATGAAAGAGTATTATTTATGTAGATGATCCATGTAGAAGTTACTTGAGAGCTCATGGCTAGGTCTTGTTGTTGATAGTATTTTTATTTATATTGGAATTAAGTTGTGTTGATACAGAAAGTTACGAGTTGTATTATCATGCAACTTTCATTTGTGTGCATTCTTTGAGACTTTCTATCATTTTCATGCTTTCTGGAGAGGGTCTGTTGTTTTATTGAATATTTTGTCAGTGGTTTGTAGTATTTGAAATGTAACTTGTGTTTCTTCATTAGAATTTTATCAATTATTTGATCATTTTATCAACATTACAGAAGAGAAATATATCTTTGACATTTAAAAAAATAAAAAGTTTCAGAAATCAATTATTTCATTTGTATATTTTTAGGTACCAAATCATATGATATGGTTGCTATTTTTCTACTGGTTTTTTCATTCTTGTTCAAATGCTGTTGCTGAAATCCTTCGTTTTGCTGACAGAGAATTTTATCGAGATTGGTGGTAAGTTAGCAAATAAAATTGAGAAGACTCCAAATCGAGGAAGCTTTAAACTAATCATTAATTTTTTCAAAAACTTGACTGAAGATCTAAAAGACTGTAACAGAAATGTAATATCTAAATAAGAATTATGTACATGTGTCAGGTTATAGTGTGCATGCCATGACCTTTTACAGAGTGCCATTCAACATAGCATTATGTATTTGATGTCAGTTGTCAACTGTACATTTTACCCCACATTGCTGATTTAGTGACAGTTCATGGTAAAGGAGAGTAAATATCAGTTACATTATACAGGGATACTGAAGAAACATAGATATGATTTTAAAAGTTCTAGAGGTTATGTAAATAAACATACAAATTGTATGATGGACAGAAGTATTTCTATTCTGCACATGAGCATACCTTGCACTCCAACAAGGAGTCAGATGATGATGTCAATTCACAGACATATCTTGAGTACAAATACTTTTGTAACACATCTGATATTTTGTGTACAACAGATTTGTACATTTTATTAAAAGCTTGCCATTTATCATATAGATGCACATAGTAAATTCTGAATTATATTCAACACTCCTTTTCATGTATGGAGCTGGTCTAATGGACTGACTTTTTGCACATTCATTTGAACTTTAGTATATTTTAATATAATGAATGAGTAGTTATACAGTCCTCACAATAGAGCTTTCTTTTTTTTTTCCAGGTTCATATCTTTTGAACACCTGGTTATGAAAATGTAGCATATGGTAAAAGTAATTTTAGGAAAAAAAAATTCAGATTCAGGAAGTTAAAACGACATTTTTTTAAGTATGTATTTAGGCTCCCTATCAAAATTAATATAAATGAAATGTGAGTAGAAAAATATTCTACTTCAAAAATAAAAATGCAACAATAAAATAATAGCAATTTTTAAACTCATTTTCACTTGAAATGCTACTACTATCATAAACTATGGTGATGTATTAAAGGTAAAGCACAGTAAATATTTATATCATTTAAATAAAAATTATTGGTGTAAATTTTGTGTAAACATATAGTATGTTTGGATAATTTTGTTTCATCAAACAGATGCACTATAGACTAGTGCCTCAAAATATTCTTATTATCATAGTTTTGAATGGTAGCACATTGGTGAATAAAACCTTTAAGAGCTCTCAACTTGCTACAGACTTCTCATAATGTATGATTTTAAAAGTGTTTTCCTTAATAAGTGCCATTTTCGATTAAAAGGATGCAGTCTCACTACCAAATGAAAAATTGTTGCAGCAAAATCATGTTGAATGATACTTCAGAGATCAAAATATTTTGTTTTAGATAACTGTATCAGAAATTTGCCCAAAATCTATATTTAGTTAATAGTGAAGTTCCATGTTTTTAAGATTCTCATTATGATGATGTGGATGGCCCTCTTTTGAGTACTGTGATTACAGATGATAAAGGGGCTCGGCATGGCTAGGTGGTTAGGGTGCTCAACTCGCAATCTGCAGGTCCCGTGTTCAAATCCCCGTCACATCAAATATGCTTGCCCTTTCAGCCATGGGGGCATTATAATGTGACGGTCAATCCCACTATTCGTTGGTAAAAGAGTAGCCCAAGAGTTGGTGGTGGGTGGTGATGACTAGCTGCCTTCCCTCTAGTCTTACACTGCTAAATTAGGGACGGCTAGCGCAGATAGCCCTGGTGTAGCTTTGCATGAAATTCATAACAAACAAACAGATGATAAAGTTTATGGCTTAACAAACCTGTGAGATGTTTAATAATATAATTTTTAGTTTTTCTTGACCAAACTACACATAGAAACCTGATTTATATTATATTTATTTCAAATCCATAGACCTAAAATAACAAAACTGTCTTGGCATCATTTTAAACTTAATGTTCATGAAGAAGCAGAAATATATTCTTTTCATGTTATATGAGTTATAAGACAGTTTTCTGCCACTCAAGGATTTCCAGGTTATAGTGTTTGCAATTCACAACTCTTTTTTTCAAAATTATGTTTGCATCTTCTGACAACTACTAAAAGTAGAATCATGTTTAAAATATTTAGTTATCTGTTATTTTTTACAGGAATGCAGAAACTGTTAACTATTTTTGGAAAAATTGGAATGTCCCTGTCCATCGTTGGGCAGTTCGGCACTTGTACAGACCACTTACTAATAGAGGATTTAGTAAGAATCAAGCTTCAATGGCTGTTTTTTTTGTCTCAGCTTTCTTTCATGAGGTAGTACTTTTTGTTTTTTATGCGACAGAAATAAACAAAAGGGTTTTAAATAAATAGTGAAAAAATAAGCTTCGCTTTTTCCTATATGCCAATATTATTAAAGTTCAGTGCCTTTATGAAATGTATTAAGAGTATTATATATCAACTTTTGAAGAATTGATATCATTGGCACAGAAATAATTAAATATAATTTTTTGTGGATTTTTTTGTTCTTAATATGAGTTGAGCCAATCATAATATTGCATTCCAATGATTTCTAAGGTCTGCTAAAATTTCAAGTATCATTATAGTTAAATACCATAATAAAACTTATCATTCATTTTAGCTATTAAGAAGTCTAGCTTTGCATTAGACTACATTTTGTAGGATTCAAAAATTTGTTTGCAGATAAAAAAATTCATTAATGTTCGATCAGTTTGTCGTTTGATTCATTTTCTATGGACTAACTACACGTTTATTTTAGTAACAGCTAAAAACGAATAATCTAATATTAGTTGAATAAAAGGCAGTAAAATATGTAAGAACCTAAAATGTTTATTGTATTTAATATGTTAGCAAACATTTAAGTTTACTGTGTAACTAAAACTGCTAAAGAGTGATTATTAAGAAAGCATTAAAATTTAGATGTATCAACAAAATATAAGACTTGAAACATGTTTTTTGTACCAGTCAGTATCTTTGACATAAATGTAATGTATGTTTTATTAATAATTAATCTTAACAAACATTTTCTCAAAGCTCTGCATTTAAATCGGTCTTTAATGCATCCTATTATTCATTTTTATCTTGATACAGACTCCATATATGTTAGCTATTTTATGTGAAGATATATATAGATATATGTCAATACTGAGAAAAAGTTGACTAAATAGTATTGTTGTTGTTGTTTTTAATAGTATCTAGTCAGTATTCCACTGAATATGTACAGAATCTGGGCCTTTTCTGGGATGCTTGGGCAGGTATTTTAGCAGTTCCAACTTTTTTTTTTAACTTCTGTATTACTAACAGTGTCAAAAGATGTAAGCAAATTTTGTTTTGATTTGTTTTCAAAACTATGTGCTGTTACTCACAATCTCTTTTTATCTTGTTTATGTTTAAGCTTTTATAATTTTGTGATGATTCTAAACAGTTATATAGGTTTTAGTTTCATGTCATTAATAACAAATTAAACTATTTGTTTTTATTCAGAGGATAACTTACAGGAATTCACATGAGTTGAGAAGTAATGAATTTTACCACTTTTTGTTTTTAATTATAGAAACTCCACCATTTATAGTGAAACAAAATCAGTCAGTGGTGATATGTAACCTAAAAGTACTGTTTAAATTTTTATGTATTAAAAAAAAATCCACTTCAATCAAAGAACCTTCTTTGCCACTATTCTTGAATTGCTGAAGTATTACCTGCAGCTGTGTTATGCCTTGTTTACGTATTCTTATATAATTCCTTAATTAAAAGAAAATTTCTTAATGACATAATGTTTTGATAAACTAACTAGAGAGGTCAAGGCAAGTTTCTGTCGGTGTTGTGCATAAAAAAAAAAATTATCTGTCCATCAAGCTCATTACCAATTTTGCTAATATTTGTGTTTTGTGTAACGTGGAGGAACGTAGGATTATAAAAAACTTAAAGTTACATCTTTTGAAATGGGCTTTTTAACATTTAACAGTATCTAATGATGTAAAGGATTATAAAAAAATAATTTTACATATTTTGAAATGAGCTTTTTAATATTTAACAGTATTTATTGAAGTAAAACTGGTGGTAAGTATTTTCTTTGTAAACTTGCTATATAAATCAATACATGTACATGAGATGTACTAACTTATTTTCCTGAGCTTAATCTAACAGAAACTACATGAATTTATCAAAATTGGCTTTGACATTTTAACCTTTATATTTTGAAATATGGTGGGTCGTGGGATCAAGACCTGTCACAGAACATACATGCCCCCCCCTCCCAGGTGGACTTGTAATATGATGATCAATCCCACTATTTGTTGGTGAAGAGTAGCCTAAAAGTTGGGACTGCATGGTGTTGACTAGCTGTCTTCCATGTAGTATATCATTTGGGGATGGTTAGTGCAGATAGCTCTTGTATAACTTTGTGAGAAATTAAACAAACAAATGAATAGATACACAAAGGTTTGAAGTGAAAAAAGATACAACTTCTAAAATATTAACTAGCATTCCAAAACTTTTTAATGAAGGTTTTGCTTTTTAAACTTAGAAGTTGCATAAGCAGTATTACATGATTTTAAGAAAATTTCCTTTTCTACAATTTTGTATAAAACTCATTACTTAGCTTTGATTAGATGATTTTAATAGTCTTAGAACATTCAGCAATGCAAATTCCAACTGATCCAGATTGGAATAAGTTGCTTCAAAATTTTATCTGATACACAGTCTGTGCATTTCTATTTTTTAACACATCTTTATGTAGATTGTTGTCTCTTAAATTCATAAAGACAAAACAGTATATCATAAATCACTAAAACTGTTTTTAGTTGCTTTTTATTTTGTAAATAATACAGTTTTAGCTTATACCAGTTCAGATTAGTATTTGCATTTGTAGTTTTCAGACTTTCAGCATTGAACTGTGTGTGTGTGTGTGTGTGTGTGTTATATATATATATATATATATATATGTATGTATGTATATAGACACATATATGATAATTCTTTTTTTTGTGTAGGTTCCTTTTGCAATGTTTGTGTCTCGGTATCTTCACAACCAATATGGAAACATGGCAGTGTGGATTTCCATCATTATTGGACAGCCTCTGTGTATTCTGATGTACTACCATGACTACTACATCATTCACTATGGAAGTCTGGAAGTAATTTCGTGAAAAGCTACACAGAGTTTAGTTTCATAAGTCTGTGCCAGAATCCTTAAGTTATTTATGTTTGTTTCTGTGTATTTATTTTGTAGCAAGTACTACAGTTTCAACAGCTTTGATTTTGAACAACTCCAAAACAAATCAAGGAACTTTCATTTTGTACAATTGTACAAAAAAATTTATAATGTTGTTTTAACTATTGACAATTTTGTTCCTTAGATGAAACCAAAGTAACTTTTGTTTCTTGTGTGTGAAGCTTTATTTTTAAATTAGTTGTTAACCAAATTTGTGCTGATAATTTGATTAGCATGGATAGTATTTAAGACTCCCTCATGTTTTGCACTAAAATATGACACACACACACAATTACTTTCAAATGTGGCATTTATGTATTATTTCATATTTTTTTTTGTGATATCATAGATGTGGATACTTAAGTTGGGTTTCATAAACAAACTAAAACAACAAGTTTGAGAAAAGTCACTAACCTTTCTTCTGTATAGCTAACTTTTATTCACAGTGAGTACATTCAAAATTGTGGATTTTTTCTTGAGAAGAATCTTGAAAAAAATAGATATAAAGTCTTTAGAATTTTATAATTAATACCATTCTACATTATCAACTCCACTGAAGCTTATTAGTTTTCTTTGCTATTATAAAGGAAAAAATATTCAAAGATATTTGGAAATGTATACTTCTGTTCTAAATTTGTATGTAATTATAGTCTGTTATTTGCCAAGAACGATGCACGTTAAAAGTGTGTGTAACATCAATATATCAAAGTAGAGTTTTTGGGAACTAATATATGTCAGAAATCATATACGTTAAAATTTTTAAAAGATACAAACTACGAAGTTATTGAAACATTTACCTTTGGAATTACTTCCAAAGTTCGTTTTTGTAATTATAATAAAAAAGCAACAAGATGGATGAATGCCAAAAACTAGTACTCAAAATAACTAGTCCTCTTTTTTTTTACTTTTATTTTACATTGTGATTTTTTGTATTAGTAAAACATATTGTTGTGTTATAGATTATGAAATGAGTTAAAATATATTTAACCCTTAGGTATTTTACACATATTTAACTTCCCTATGCTTGTTCAAGCTATTGCAAATGGGAAAAACAAAAAGCTATAAATATTTTATTGAAGAAATATTTAATTATTCATTCATTTCCAATTATTAAAATCACTAGGGAAAAAAACCTACTTGTAAATTTAATAGATTGGGAACCTTTGTTATTTGGCTGGAGTCCATGTGGATCCCACATGAGTACTTTAGGGTTAAAAGCATATTTATACATAAAAATAATGTACATAAAGGTTCAAAATATGTCTGATGCACATTCTGTAGCCTGAAGAGCTTTTTTTTTCAATAATGGTCAGTTAACAAAAATTTGAATTTAGGATTTTATTTTGATAAAGATGAAACTCTGTAATACAACTTTTGGAAATTTGCTTACCTTATTATAGTTTTATGAGAGAAAAAATTCAGTTGTTTCCTGAAGAAATGTAAACTAAGCTAGTTTCTAATTTTTATAGCTTTACCTCTCAAATACTTATAAAGATCATTGTACTACCAAATGCTTATACATATCTTGATTGTTAAAGATACAAATTTTGTATTTATATTGACTTGATGTGTCCATTTTTTGTTATTTTCATTGATAAAGTTTTGAAGTTATACCAAAATCTGTTTAAGCCAGAAATTCCATGTAAATGCTTTGTAATGAAATTTATTGTTCACATATGACAGCATTTTATACCAAAGTGATAAAAAAGCAGTCATTAAAAACTGTTGTTACTATACATTGACTTGTTATAAAATATTTACAAGTAGGTACATACAAGTGAACTGTAAAAAACAATCATTGAAGTTCAGCACAATCCTCAAAATAATTATATTAGTTGCATAAAAATATAATTATTTTGAGGATTGTGCTGAACTTTTTTTACTAAACAAATAATTAAATACACATCATGCATGTTGTGCTGCGAGAGAGGTAGATATTGATATGCAACAGCAAAAGTAGGAAGTAATAATCACTTCCAGTATAATTTATTAAATAACACAGCCATAAAATTTAAATTACATTTGCAACTTCTTTACTTGTATGAATGATAAAGCATCACTGATTTCATAAATAGATCAATGTTTCAGAAACAATGAAGTGAAAATAAGATTGTTATAAGTTAAGATTTCATATCAAAGCCATGTTTAAAATACAAACTTTGAAACAACTTTTTGTGATGTATTGCCATATGTTTATAACTTGCTTTAAAAAGTGAATTTAAAAATTACCTTGTGTTAGAAAATTAACATTTTAGGAAGCAGAAATAGCATAAGCAGACTATAACCTACAAATATTCATCAATGAGGTTAAATAAAAATGTAGTAATAACTAATCCACAAAAGTTTGGCATGAAAGGTTTATTTTAATTTTTTTTATACAGTAGCATTTATTCAAACCCTAATAAATTATTCTTACAACATTATGATCCTATAACATGATAGGTTGAGTCCATATGATTTATTATGTATCCATAATGCATCAAACAATCACATAATAGACTGCTTCTAGATTGTCTTAATTTTTGCAACCTATTGAATACCAAAATATGACTTGAGAGGATAAATCCTAAACTGTATTTGTTTAAAAATTGATAATAATTACACTACACTTGCATTTTGTTCATGCAGTTGATGATATGACTAGACCATTAATGTGTATGTTGTATCACAACCAGCCTGATGAGCCCTGGTACTGGGTGAAAGGCCTTGCTGGCATTAGATGTAGGAGATATAGTTAGGTTGATTTATTATTACATATTCTTTTTAGCTTTCATTCATAAGTTCTTAGAAATACAAAAGATTTATATTGGCTGTAATAATTAATTCTGACAAGGTCAGAATAGAATCATAAAAGTTTTTACCATTTCTTATAATATTAAGAAAAATTCTTTCACAGTTATAATACACTTTTTGTTTAAATCTAGGCAGAGTGAAATATATATATCTAAAATGAACTGCTATATTTTATATATTTTAATTAGCAAAAGATGCACGGCTGTATTTATGAATTATTCTAAGTAGATCTGTTGTTTGAATAAATGCTCCTTGGCATAGTAATATAGTTTCTTTTTTTATATACTGACACAGGGAAATACATCTTTAATATTAAAATTCCCCTCGACGTGGATTCCTGTACGTGGTGAGGGGACCTCCCAGGGAAGGTTCTGTATTTTCAGTTACTTTCTCTGGGATCTAAACATCCACCCACGTGTTTGCCGTTCGTGGCGACCTGTGAAGGGGAGGAGAGGATCCTGGTGGTTGAGTGGTGTCTGGGCACTGCAACACACCACTTTGGCCTTGAATTCCTGTAGACGGGTGGCCCCCCTAGGGTCAAGTGGCTGGTCCACTGGGGCTACCCGTTGAGAACGCCCAACACTGGTACTCAGTTGACCCTGTTGTGGACATTGTGTCTGATACTGGTGTTTGGGTATAGTGCTCCCATGGAGTCCTACGAGGGGACGCACTACAATGTCAAACAAGGACACTGCAGCAACGCCAGGGTTTCGTCGGGTGGGGTCAGTGGGCACTGAATCTCTATCTCTTTAATTATGGATCCCCCCATTCCAAATAAAAAAAATGTTAAAAATCTGCTTATTGGTAAACGACCACGTCTAGAAGACTCTGAACAGCAGTCTCCATCACCCAGTTACACCTGTACCTCGCTTTTTAATCATGCACTCACTATCAGATAAATCATTAGGTCAAATGTCTCCTTTTTTTATTCAGAAGGGCTTAGAGGGGCTTGCTGGCTCTCCAAAGTCAGTTAAAAAGCTACGTTCTGGAGACATCTTAATAGAAACTTCCCATCCTAAGCACAGTGAACTTCTCTTGAGTTCAAAGGCCATTGGGGATATACCTATTGAGGTTACACCCCACGCTTCCTTGAATTCCTCTCGAGGAGTTATCGTTGAGAGAGCTCTGAAATATTCACCCGGGACGGAGATCCTTGCTGGTTTCTCCAATCAAGGAGTTTCGGCAGTTAGAAGGATCTCTACTCGTCAATATGGAATTATGGTGCCACCCTCATTTTTAACTTTGACGTTTTCATCACCACGTCCACCTGCCACCATAAAGGCAGGTTATTTG